CTAGCCATACTCGACAGCGTGTCGGGGTGATGCTCGCCGAGCTTTGCCTTGCGAGACTTCATCACCTGCAAACCTAGCTGCTCGGCCTCCTCCCACTGACCCTGTCTCTGGTACGTCGATGCCAAGCAAGCCATACTCGACAGCGTATCGGGATGATCCTCGCCGAGCTTTGCCTTGCGAGACTTCATCACCTGCATCTCAAGCTGCTCGGCCTCCTCCCACCGGCCCTGATTCCAATACGTGGATGCTAGGCTGGCCATGCTCGATAGCGTGTTCGGATGATTTTCGCCAAGTTTCGCCTTACTCGCCTCCATTACCTGTACGTCCAGCTGCTCAGCCACTTTCCATAGGCCTTGCTTCCGGTACGTCGCCGCTAAGTTGGCCATACTGGATAGTGTGCTCGGATGATCCTCGCCGAGCTTCGTTTTGCGTGCCATCATCACCTGCACGTCCAGCTGCTCTGCCTCTTCCCATCGGCCCTGCTTCCGGTACGTCGATGCCAGATTGGCCTTACTCGTGAGCGTGTCTGGATGATCCTCGCCAAGCTTCGACTTGCGAGCCTGCATCACCTCCGCACCCAGCTGCTCAGCCTCTTCCCATCGGCCCTGCTTCCGGTACGTCGATGCCAGATTGGCCTTACTCGTGAGCGTGTCTGGATGATCCTCGCCAAGCTTCGTCTTGCGAGTGTTCATCACCTGCACACCTAGCTGCTCGGCCTCCTCCCACCGGCCCTCGTTCAAATATGCATCCGCTAAACTTGCAGTACTCTCGAGAGATTCTTCATCCTCCGCACCCAGTATTTTGACCCTATGCTTCCTTGACTTCAATGCCAATTCTCTCGCGTCTGCAAAATTACCACGCCCTAACGCATACCATGCACCTCTTTGAAGTAGCGCCGCCCATTCTAGTACGGGCTGTTTGGATTCTGGCCGTTGTAATATCGCGGATTTCACATGTGGAAAAAGCAATCGGCACTTTTCCCAATTCTTGTATTCACCCGTTGGGAATACATGACATAAATTGCTGCTATATCTCTCCTTCCATTGCTCTACCAGTCCGTGAGTTTTTAACCACGTACGCATAGTCAACTGTACCAGTCGATGCATCGTGAAGAATGATCCATTCTCGCTAACAGATATGAATGAATAGCCCCTCAGCGTAGTGATATTATCTTCAAAATTGTAGTCCATATCTGATCCAGAGATCTCTTCGTCGTCACTGGAATCGTCCGAAACCACTACACTAAGATTCTGCACGTTTTGGCTTGAAACCTTGAGAAGGCTCTCTGGAATCCCTTGTCGATCGAAAAAGCTCATGAGAGATAGCAAGTCCGCTGCAGACGGTCTTGTTTCTTGAAGATGATCGAATGATATTTGCCATGTCACTAAGATTGAGTTTTTTGCTTCCCAATCCCGGTCAAGGTGACCTGCTTCCTTTTCCAGAAGCTTTATCGCTTCGCGGTCACTCCCTCGGAAGGCTTTCAGGTATTGCGATACAGAATAGCGAGGTGCCCGAGATCGAATATAGCTAGCGGCTTGTACGATCGCAAGTGGCATGAACTCCAGCTCTTCCACTAGCTGCCGGCTCTCTTGAATTTCTCCTAGCTGCTCAAGCTTTGTTTGGAAGAGCTCTACCGCCTCGGAGCTCTCCATCGGGTTGACTTCAATAAGATCCTTGTGACTAACGATTTTCAACGCAACTTCTTTCGTCCGACTCGTAATAATGACAGACCCATTTGGGATTCTGGGGACGTATTCCAATAGCGGTTTGGTCGAGGCGTTCGTTGGACTTTTAGTCGGGTTGGCCTTGCCTGCCGGCGGACACGAGCTAAGAAACTCATGGCTATCGACATTATCCAGGATGAGGACCCACTTCCCTCCGTTTTCGTCTCGAAGCCGATTCTCAACTAGTTTGAATATGTTAAATTTCGGATCTTGACGACCCCGAATTTTCAGCTGGTCCGCTATATCTCGGAAACTTTGCTCGAACCGGGCTGCGTTGCTCGCATGGACCCAAAAAACCCATGTGGCCGGTGATTCAGATCGGACCTGGTAGGAATATTCGATGGCAAGTTGCGATTTCCTTCGAGCCATCAGCAATAAACCATGCAACTAGTCGCTCTACACTCACCCGACACCACCGAGGCCAAACAATGCTATCCTCGATCCTGGAACCGAGCTTTTCTCGTGGATCCGATGAAGTAGCATGTCGCGACTGACAAAGTCCGCATCGCGCGCGAACGGGACGGTTGATGACGGGTTGGGTGGAGTTTCCGGTCGCTCTACGGGAGGAAGCGGCGGTTAGTCAGTCGAGCCTGACCGTGTCCGGTGCCAGACTTACCCGGAGGCACATTGATTGAACCATGGTTTACTCCAATCTGGAAACCCAAACCATTGTTGTTGCCAAGGAATGATATAGATGCCATGATCCAAGAACTACACGTCCTTCATATTACATGCGAAAGGTTGACGTCCGACTGTCAGCTAAAAGAGGGGTGTGTCCTCAGCCTCACCATCAGGTGACTCGGCGGCGCTAACATAGGTGATTGGACTAAGATTGGCGGGCAACCCACATCAAGCATTCTGTTGGTCCTGTTTGGGGTCAGCATGTTTCTAGGAATCGGATCGACCCGAGCCAGAATACTCAGTTCAAGCGCAGGACGCGATAACCAGCCCGATGCCTCCAGATAAGAGCACGCTTTGACATTATTACTTAACTGTAGGAGCCTACCGCTGCCAGCTGTATCAAATGCACAACATAACCAATATCAGGTCACTATTGGGTTGTTGTTATGGTCAAGCTAACACAGGATGCTTCGCTCGTTGCAATCGCCATTTTTGCGGTCCGCAGCCTTCAGATGGGCCACCAAGCTCCCAGGAACTGCGAGAACACAACAAGTCACGTGTATTTCTTAATACCTAACATCCCCCAGACCTTTCGCCCAAATCATTTCACCCTCTTACTGAGCAGAGGGGTGAGAAGATTTTCTCGGCGATCTCCGACCGCTACCTGCCCAAATTTTCATCCCCCCACATCTCGAATTCCCCGCCATCTCTCGTTCTAGCTAGGTAGCTAAGTTGGATAGGTAGAAGCGGCTGGTGCATGGCTTTTACTCCACTACTGTTACGAAAATAGATAGAGCTAGTGGGTATGACGTTACAAATACAGTACAATACAAGGCCTTACAAAACGGCTGTGTTCCAATCACAGCCTCGTGAGAGTCCCCAGCATGGGTGTGATAACTAGCAAGACCGAAATGCTTAGTCAATACGTAGGCAGAAAAAGCTCTTAATGATGATGCGAAGGAACCTCTTTACTCCACTTATTTAAAGACAATTATTTCTGTATACATGTCCACCCAGGCATATAGTGATTAATTTATTCCTTTATAACAGTAGCTACTTGAGCTACAAATTCCTGAGGTCATGGGGCCTTTGATCTCGTAAGAGGGAGGGATGTGGACCAGTTAGGAACCGGATATGCTAGGCGATTTCCACAATCTTATCTTATCTTTCCAAAGACGCAGCTTGAAGAGCATTTCCATACCGTCCACCTAGGGCGTTGACCTCGGCTCCTTTCTCTAGCAGCAACTGCACAATCTTATCGTGTCCTCCGATAGACGCAGCTTGGAGAGCATTTCCAAACTCTCCACCTTGGGCGTTGATCTCGGCTCCTTTCTCTAGCAGCAACTGCACCAGCTTATCGTGTCCTCCCAAAGACGCAGCTTGGAGAGCATTTCCATAGATACCCCTGGCCAATGATGACGTTCCTCACTTCAAATTAACTATTCGTACAATTGGCCTTGTATTACTTCCTCTAGGGGTCTAGAGGCAGTTCCTGCATGTCTGACTCCCTCGGGCCCATCTCTTGCTGCCCCTTTATCTCCCCAAAACAGCTCAAGATGCCATACATCAACCAGGTTAACCAATGTCTGGATATGTCCAAATGTAGCGGGTTGCTCACCCCCAGGCCGCCGAAAACAAACGTAAGTCACAAAAGCACTCAGGAGAAACGAACCAATGCTAAGATACAGGAGTGGCGGAGGCCGCAGAAAAACACCCCAGTTGTACGCATACGAAATGGCATTCCCGAAGAGCCAATGTAGGACAACCTTCAAAAGAAACAGCATAACAGCAAGCCAGCTGGTCGCGGCACGAATCAGCGCGTTTGGTCGCAGGTTTCCCCTAATAGTTTGCGCATAACACTGGCGCCAGGTATCTTCGTCCCGGCTGACGGCGACGATGAGGTCCGCGCAGTGGAGGGCTAGAGTCAAAGTACCCTGTAAAATGGCAAAGACAATCCAAAGACCTCCATAGAGGCTCGGGCTGTATTCCACAATAATAGCAGCACTCATTGGGTCGCTACCACTATCTCCAAGTAGGTTCCAGTTGGTGCCGAGATACACGTTACACCCATTGCACCTTTCTTCCGAGTTTTTGAAATACTTGTCCTTTTCAATAAGTACCACTTGCACAATGATGAAAATCAATAAAAGGATCCACGTAACGAGCCAGTTATAAGACATGACCCATCGGGCCTCGCTGTGAGACTTCCAAATAGATTGCTGTTGTGACTGAGCTTGTCGTGGTGCGGTGGGAACCTCTGCATCATGAACACTCATCATACAGCGACCGGCAACTCTGGTCCGAGAGCCAGTGGAAATGCTAGCCCAAGCAGTGTCCAACGGATTTGATGACCAGGTTTGAACTGAAATATCGAAGAATTGCCATGTTGTTAGAGCGGCCTGACCCAGAAGTCCTACACCCAGACAGCACAGACTGGGAGTGGAAAGGACCACTATATCACCACATCCTTGGTCCTTAGTCCCTCCTAAACCAGAGACATTCTTGCAAAAGCTTTCAGCCGGCGGTGTAGCAAACATAAGAGATGCACCGGCGTATGTCATGATGATGAAGACCGCATGGAGGATGTTAGAAACTTTGCCTAGGCATTCGTGTTGATCTGATGCCGTAAATATACGCAAATTCGAGCTGAAAGCCAATCGATCGTAGAGTGCCCATCGTAAAGTCGTCGGGTGAATCAGCCCCATACCCTCCACCAATAAAGTCACAATCGTGTTAACAAGCAAGGGCAGCAGTTCGCCCGTGACGGAAGAAATGTTCAATTGCGGCCAATTGTGATAGCTGACGCCGTGGTTTGTGGCGTGGTTTTTCGATGCCACAGAAATAGTAGGCTTCAGTACTTTCCCAGATCCAAACACCACACAGATAATGCCAAAAATCCAGGACGCAATTAGTCCGGCGATAGCGAGCATGCGAGTGGTCGGCGCGCGGTCGAATGATTCATCTGCGGCGACATCCTTAGAACCACTCTCTGCTGCAGACGAGAGTTGGATCAGATTTTTGTCGCCAGACACGCGATGGTACTGGAACCATTTCCTTGCATTCATGAGGAATGAGGCAATATAAGTCGCCATAATCAACTAGGGGAACGGGGAAGGGGTTAATTTAGAATTTCGTGCTCAAGGTTTCCCTTCAGGGTGTTTGGGGAAGTCCCAGTACATAAGGTTCCTGAAAAAGGGTTATGGGGGTTTAAGCCCCACTCGCTCAGCCTTGCGCTAGGGGTGAACATTTTGTAATACCTGCAGTGCCAAGTCTGTTGTTGTTCAATAGCTGCCAAAGAGCCAACACTAATGGTCAACAAGACTTGGATCGTCCAATCAAAGAGCTGATGTGGGCCTAGGCCCCCACTTTGTGTCGCTTAGCGTCGTCGCCTTAGCGTGGCTTGGCAAATATTGGCACGGTTTGGCCGAGTATCTCCCCGCGCCATGCCGCTTGGCTGTTATATTGTCGCCCAATGAAAGCCACTGCAGAGACCCGCTCCCACAGCAAGCTGATAAGTCAATGAAATCAATCCTCACTGAGACAGCGTGGCTGTCTGGCTGAGAACCGCCGTCTATAAGCCACGGTTACATCGGTAGAGCATCTCGCTATTCCCAGTGTGGTCGAATAAGAGCCCACTACGGAGACCACTACGGTTAAGGAATCACACCTAGGGGTACCCCTGGCCAATGATGACGTTCCTCGCTTTGGAGTGGGGTTTCAAATCCCCGAACGCACCTGCCAGCACATGCATCGCCTTGTCATCAGGGCGTCTCGGCCCGTTGGTGCTCTAATGCTCACGTATTTCTTCTCAACCGAAGATCTGCCAAGATAATTGCGGCATTTCGCAAAGATACGGCTGGAGGTTACCTTAGACATCATTTCACACAGGGGAATGCAAACTGTGGGAAGAGTATAACCCAAAAATGTTCATATAGAGTACAGTAATATTCGAAATCAGATTTACCTCTGCTCTCTCACAATGTTTCCCAGTGCCCGACCGGAAGCGCACTTTTCCAAATTAGGCCATATTTCCGCCCACCTTGCATCTGACGATGAAACAGCGCGAGAGTCTAGACAATTCCAGGTGTCTACTGGGGTGGCACTGGGGTGGCGCTGAGAAAACATAATGGAGTCACGATGATTGGATGGTTGTAAAGGGAAGAAGAGCTATGGGCCATGGGAGTAGGCAAATAGTCTAACACTGTGCACTGTGCCTGTTCCAAGCCAAAATTAAGGCGCGAAGAATTGCAGTGCGGCGGACTGATGTCTCTACTAGGGTATATAGAATCAGAGATAATGCTCAGTGTAAATCTGCATCTGTTAGGTTGAATAACTCTCCTAGCTAATCACATTGCTTGATCCGACCTCAGTTCAGGCCTGTTGGCGCCAGAGCAATCCCCCAACCTCCATGACATAGACATAAAAACAGATGGGTCCCAAATGACCTTTGATCCTCCATCTGGAGTGGAACGTTGACGCAGCACAAGAACCATTTGATATTGCCGCTGGGGCTGAATTTTCTGATCTCTCGTTAGTCAATGTACGAATGCCATTATATTACTCTCACATACCTTGGTATCCCGTTCTGTCACCCATGTAGAGTTTTATGCCTAGACGCATGGGTTTTCGCCCACCTTGAAGCTTTTCAAGGGGGCGGCATCACCGACGTTGGCCCTGAAACAGTCCTTGTGTTGCAGGGACCATTGTTCCCCCTTGCAATCATAGTCCTCATAGGCATAGATAGTGAATCCACATCTGGCGCCCATAGTTTCCGCCTCCGCTTTAATAGACAAGATCTCGGGCATCCCATCAAAGCTTTCACACTCCGAGGAGACTTTGTCAGAGTACATCCCAGTGGAATCCCCGCAAAGATCATCCGTATATATCTCGACGTCCCAGCGCCCTCTGTCCTCTGCGGCAGCAGTGCCAAGCTGCAAAGCCCAGACAGCAATCATAGATACAGAGAGATCGGTAAAGCGCATGTTGATGAACAAGCCGGTAGTCGTGTTGGTGAATTGTGTGTGAATTGGATGATTTACACCACAAACATCTGGGCATATCCTCATTACTTATAGTTCTTTTCCACAATTTTTTGGTAATCAGAATACTAATATAATCACGGTTTAAGGCTGCCAGGTATCCTACATGGCGTCAGCAATAACGCAGTACGGCCCCAAAATCGTATAACTAGTACCACTAAGAGCCCTTGAACTTGCTAAAGTGGAACCGCTAAATCATAGCTTGTATATCATTACCATCAATAGCACTAGTAGGAACCTTGGAAGTGTATTCTCATGGGACGCCTAGTTAGTCAAACACAGAAAAGCGTCAGTGCTAACAAGGGGTTACGGCTGCGGAATATTGATCTATGGATAGGGGTATGCAACATATGACAGCCTTGGCACCAGGGGTACAGAAACAATGAGGCAGCAGTAATGACAGATGTGCCTACAGTATCTATTCATCTGTTCAGCATATGTAGGAATCCTATTTCAAAGACTAACATACCTTTCGCCAGACTCCGTACGAAGTACTGGGAATCAAATTTCTATTCATAGACTTGTTCTCGGACTCTGAATTCTCTTGACTGGAGTGGCTTGCGGGGCCGGATGGGGGCCGGGGCTGGATGGGGGCCGGGGCTGGATGGGGGCCGGGGCTGGATGGGGGCCGGGGCTGGATGGGGGCCGGGGCTGGATGGGGCCCGGGGCTGGATGGGGGCCGGGGCCGGATGGGGGCCAATTCAATATGTACATACCTACCTAGTTAGCCCCCAACCTGTACATGACATCAAATTCGGTGGCTTAGGATCTGCAAAAGCCTTCCGTCTAGCGTCGAGAGGGACAACTCAATTCGCGGCTGAGATCAGGATCTGAAATGACCTCCAATCCAGTGTGGACAGGGTCGATCCAAGGCAGCCAGCCCCCAATCTATACTGGATTTGGGACAGAGTGTGAGGGGCGAAAACAATATTCAATTCAATCTACAAGGCTGACATCCTGTCTATCAATAGCATGAGTAAGAGAAGTTCTGTGGGTTGACTGCCAAGTAGACGCCAGCGATTCAGGAGCCCGCGGGCGATTCGTGTGGGCACACACCTGGCCCGTTGATATGTCCGTAGATTCCGGAGTATCTCGCCTTCTATGATAGGTCAAATGTGTGAGAAATTCCCTCGATTTGATGCAGCTTGTTCAATAATCTATCCGCGCTAATGCCTTGGTGGTGGGGGCCAGAAAAGAATTACTCAGTGTGCATAGGTCAATCCGATTTCGAGAATCACTGTACATATCATAACACAACAAACATCCCTGCACAACACTCACAGCTATGTTTGCTCTACACCTGAATGAAACATGCCAATTTCCATTGCGGCGAAGGGACTATCGAACCGCAAAGTATCAAGGGAGAAGGAGTGGGAATATGGTTGTCGCTAACGAAGACACTTCAGTTGTTATTTTATGATTTTAGCCATTAATTTGCGAAGATCTATCTAGGGCTCGTTCTATCTACCCAATGATGATCCTTTGGAATATGAAACAGATGAGGAGGATGTTGTGCAGGTCTTTGCTTTTTCGAATACGCTTGGAATACTCGAATACTGGTCCCTAACACCACGAAGAGGTGCCTTCACGTCGCTAGAGGCCTTGTTATCGCAGCAATTCCCTGCAGGGTAGTCTTGTTGTCGCAGCACCCCCCTGCGAGGCATATTGTTCACGCAGACCTATCCTGCGGGGTAGTCTTGTTTTCGCAGCACCCCCCTGCGAGGATTGTTGTTGACGCAGACCTATCCTGCGGGGTACCTTGTCACACTCGCGGGAGCTCGTGGCAGCGAGGGAGCACATTCTTACACCGCTGGGCTCAGAGCAGCGACAGCCGTGGCCACGGAAGCTCTCAAGCCCGCAGGCAAGAGAGGGACACTATGATGCATCAAAGTGTGAGGACCGAAGGGAATCCGGCTCCTTTTGAATCTTTTCGGCGACGTGTCTGCCAAGGAACCAGTCGCGCAGGTGGTAGCGCGAATCAGTTTCTCGTTGCTAACCGTTGAAGTTATTTAAACGACGTTGAAATGGAGTTTGGAGACTTTGTGGCCTATAAAGTCAAGTCTCTAGTGTACTCGCAGAACCATTCTTCTCAAAATCGTGCATTGAGTGTGGTGAACCGCTTTCATCAATTGTTGAGAAGAAAGTGATGCCGCAAAAATGTTATTCCTACATATCATCAAATTTGCAGTCAAATCGCTCAACGCGCTTGCACTCTACGTCAGCCCATTTTGGCTCCAAGATAGCTCATGATCGGCTGACTAGCGGGCTGATCAGATTATGAGATAAATATGCTTTGAATCTAACCATGGAAGTTAATTGGCTAAGTAACTCAACAACTAGTAAAATCCATTCCTTTGCATGACTCTCACTGTCGTATCTCTCTGTGGTCTTGGAGTTCCACCTCTCCTTTCCCCATATTTCGAAACTCCACCATGAACATTCGCCATTGTGCTCATTTGGATTGCTCCCTACCTAATCCCTTCACAGCCCTAGTCTAGTAGGCAGTTAGAACCGCCACTTTGACTTGTAGGCTCGGTGCGCGTACTCTTCTAGTGACCGCGTAAGGCACGTACGATAAAACACACGAAAGACACGATGACCGCTAAAGATCCGAAAGAGGCCAGGCCAACGGCTCCATAATACATAATATTGTAATATGGAATGTGGTCCTCGCTGCCCAAAAATTCGAAGGATGTCTGAAAGCCGTGGACGCCGCTAGCAATCCAACCTCCTAAGGAGAGCACGGTCATGCTAACGACGATTTGAATGCAACCGTAGTAAAACCGTGCGGCACAGTTCTCTTTGTAGCCACTTCGGGTAGACCACGAGGATTAACCCGAAGATGGAAAATAGGGCTGAAACTAGGGCCGTAATTACCATGCCGTCGACGACGTTGTTCATGAGGTTTTGGAATGTGAGGTCCAAAATAGAGTCGCTCGGGGTGACGAGGTCGGATTTTGCACGGTCTCGTAGGACGACCGCAAAGTGTATAGTGGCCGAACTGAGACTGGCAAGGGCCAGCCAAGTGATGGTAAGGGAAATAATGACAAGACGCATTCGTATTATGGCGGCGGTAGTCCTCGGAGACATTTTGTGTCCGCAAGAACAGATTTATCAAGTGTGAAAAGGTGAGGCAGGTGTCGCTCAAGGGAACAGTTGAGTAAAGTAAAGAGTGGGAGGCAGAAAGATGAAGGAAGTCATTATCTCCGAGTACTGTAAAGGTTATATGTGCTAGGTGATCTTCACGCAAATGCTGCCTCTATAAAGAATGACCCAGCTAATACCAAGCGGCACCATATACTATTTAAGTAGGTATCTTAGTGGCATTCCACGGAGGCTTTTACTAAATATGAATGTTTTAAGTTAAGGCACTACTCCTATGCTTAAGGCCGATGGCCTCTAAACTCTCGGGTGTAAAGCAGGTCCTGAAACCACCCGTTTGTTCCTCGGATTTACTTTCCTATAAAATGGGGCGAGTATATTATCAACAACCTTTACGATGTGCGTTCTTAAGTTGGACGAATAATGACGGAAGATTTCTGATACCGACGTAGTTTGCCTTGGTCTGTTTGCGATACCTCACTTCGCTGTACTCGAGGAAAGTACGCTTTGCTGTTGATTGAAAACTTACCTGACCAACACGGCGGATTAGGAAACGAGTTTGGAGTAGGAAATTCATCCAAGTCCAACTATTGGCAAGGAAACCAATATGGCTGAGATGAATATCTTCTATAGGCGGAAAACAAACATGCTACTAGTGTTCAACGTCGATTCACCACCCGTACATCGCCAATGATGCTAGAATAAGAACAGTTAAAAGATACTATCATATCGGCATAATACAAGCCGATTATGATTAAAGGAACTGAAGGCTCTAGAACTTTAGGAAGTATGAAACATACTCTCGGCTAGTCGGATCTTTATCGTGACTACGCGACGCGGCTAAATGATAGCCCTCTAATAACCCCTGAGGCGTTAGAAATGTAATTTCCTTCCACACGTTCCTAATGATGACTAACTACGATCTAGCAGCCATGTTACTCCTGGGAATATGCTTTAAATTAATTGGCGGCTCGGGAATCATGTGGATACGGCAACTAGATTAAAACATCCCTGATATCCTTAATGCACTCGTTGGTGTACGTGACGCTATTATAGCCACATATTGATACCTATAGTCCTCCTAGGAGCCGGCGCTAATAATGGTAACCCGTAAAATCTTAACTATAGATATATCTTTTAGAGTGGACATAACCGCTTCAGCCCTAAACATTTAAAAGGTATGATTGTCCTTACGGTCGATGCTCTCGTGTCCTTCTTTTGCTCTAATAACTTGCTAGCACAACACTATCACTAGCGAAGCTAAGCAATAATACATTGTAGGCTGTTATAGGTATTAAAGAGGTCTAATACCCTAGATATAGAAGGTTGTAATAGACGTAAATGGCAAACTAGTATCGTTATTTTCGATCCCCTTCTCGAGGGATCTATCGGCTAATAAATCTATTTTATAGAGGTACTAAATCGGCCGAAAGCTTCCGCTAGGGCATTCGCCAACCTATCCACGGAAATCGCACCTATATAAGCTAGGTTTTATAACCATCTATTGACCGGTCCACTAGCTCTATAGCTATAGATGTAGTTACTTCCGTTGCTACCTCTCTTACTAGATTAAGGTCCTCTACGTTGCCTCTAAGCGTCATAAAGGCTGAAAGCCACGACCTGCCCCCTCTAAACGCGAAAAAGAGGGTAGTCGAATCCTTAACCCTCCTATAAAAGCGACGCCGACATTCGTACTCCACCTCTAAAATACCGGGCCGCTCGTAACTGGTGCATCGAAAGATACCCCTAAGCCTTACAACAATTAGTAGGTAAATGGTCAACGATACGATACAATACCTATAAACGCTATCTGACTGTATCTTGATTTTCGACGCCATTTTCCCTAGGGAATAGGCCACTATACACCTCGCCACCTAGTTGCTATAGAGCAGGTACGAAGAGACCATCGCGAGGAAAGAGATGGAAACAGATGCTATATCTGATTTTGATTCCCTACCAATATAGCTAGAAGAGAAGTGCCGGAAGTGTGCTACTACGCATGAGGAGTGGCTGTATGACTAAGACGGTACTCGTTCTTCTAATCCTGCTAGCTATATTTTGATAGTATAACTAGACTTTGAAAATTGAGGAGCAAATATAGTGCTATGCAACCAAGAATCGGTATTTGAGGACCTATCAAGCTTCAAATCTCTTAGTCTATGACTAAGGGACTTTTAGGTGCGAAGGTGGATTGAACGGTATCCTATATGATGTTAGTCCATCCACTCGATAAGCAAAAAAACACATATAAAAGCCAGCTACGTCTTGGTCTCTAATCAATATAATAGAGATTAGAGGAATCAGATAGCATGTGCCAGGCAAATCGGGAATAGGAATGATGAAGAAATAGCATTTTCGTAAGTCGAATTGCCTCGTATATCAAAACCAGCCACTCTTTAGATTATTTAACCCGCTTGCCTCGTAGTGTTGTAATGGTTCTGTGCTCTACCATCTATAAGAATTGAAACATTTGTGCCGTTCTGTTAATCGGCTTATGACTGCTGGTCCTTACAACTCGGACGTTTGGCAGACATCCTGGGTCTAAATGTCAACATATTAATTCAGGTGAATCAATAGGGCATGACTTGTAGACTCTAGTAGACTCTAATATTGGTAATACAGGTAAAACTAGAGCGCCGAGACCTAAATCAGCCGTGCCAGTATCCGTCGGAGAATCGTGAGAGGGCGACTCGCCTTGCTGAAAGGCGAGCTTCCAAGTCAAAGGCATACCTAACCATAACCAAGTCCATCGGATTCTCTCCTTTATCTGGCCAATATGGTCGTTACAGCGTCAACTAGACGCTGGTCGCATATAAGTCGCGAGTGGTCATTATATGGCCATGTAAGTGGAACTCCCTCGCTAAGCAAGATTTACTGGCAAGTTTCTGATTTCACGAGGCTACCAATTACTGTAATAACCATCCTATGCTTGATCCTATGCGCTCGTTAACATGAATATGTTACGGGCGAAACACCGTTAATGAGGCCTTCATTACAAAGAAGTGTCGGAGAATCTGGCTCGTCTGATAGCTTCTGTCTTTTCTTGGCGCGTTGTCAGTCATAGGGAACAAAATTTACACTCTTCTGATACGAATCTTCGTTAGCATCCATATCGACATTACTAGAGGCTGGGATAGATACATAAGGGTGCGAAATGCTTTCCTGATAAGGATGCGCTTTGCCCGTTTGAATAGCCCCGTTCTCAGTCTCGTGATTAGCGGTAGAAAGAGCGAAATCACCAGAGTCAAAGTACATCCGTCCCTACCGTGTTTTAGTCAGCGCGCGTCATAATATACTGCATTCATAGTGCCTTAGACTTTTGACCAACTAAGCCTCCACGCGGCAGCTTTCCGTACATAGTAGGGAGACGTGGCTCGGGTTTAGACCATGGATAGGAGGATATAATTAGCGTGATTTCTTCTAGAAAGCTTGTGGGAGGATACTGGGAGTATTAAGATGCAAAAAGCAAAGATCAGACCACGTAGTATAAAAATCTATGATAGCATTATTCTTTACCCAGGTTGAAATGATGTCACCCGGGTGAAATTTTGTGCAGTCGCGCCGTGGTGGGTGGATATATCATTCTTCGTTAATTGTGTCGGATGAAGAATTGCGCTGAGGCTGCTGGCGCTAAGCCATGTCGCGAAGATATCATCTTAGCCACCACAGATTGATGCGATTGAAATCGAAGTTGAGTAAATTATACGAAGGAAATTGGAATAAGATGTTCACTGCTTGAGCTGCACTGACTTCAATATCCCGCCGCAGGCTATTGAAGCAGCGAAGGGAAGATTCATTCGATGGCTTTTGTTGAAGCTGCAAATCCGCGGCATTGGGACCTGAACAAGACTGACATGACCACTTTGGTGCTAGAAAAAACTTTTCCTTATGATCACTGGCAGATAGACCTTACAAACACCATCCACAGATTCTGCGTTGACAGATCCCGTACCACTTGCCCCATTTGCTTCGAATATGTGCAAGTCCCCTGTCCCATTTCGCACCCTTGCCCATCCTGGGCCCCCTAGTGGGTCTTTGGCAAAGTCAGCCCAAGATTGCTGCATATGCTTGCTCAGCCTGATTTGCTGGTCCGTGGTCTGGTTATCCCTGGGATATGTCCCGAAGACGAGATCGATTTCTGACGTGTGCCAGGCCCCAGCTCTGGAAAAGGGCCGATTATTCGGGAAGCTCGCATTGAAGAAGTATCGCCAAACCTTCAGCCCCGCACTGTTGAGAGTGCTGGCGATGGTAGAGGTCAAACAAGTGTAGAGGTAGTCGGTAACGATCCGGGATTTCAGCTCGTTCTCAGTGGCGTTACGAGGGTAGACTGCGCGAGCCAAGGCTTGAGACCGAGTGTCATTACCGAAAATTCCTTCGAGCAACGTTTGAGAGTCGGGCATGACGGACGTCAGGATGCTGCCCTCGTCGGCGTTGGTACCAATGAGAAGGGGAACATTGGCAACTGTGTGGGCGTGAATCCCATCCCCAAGACTGCCAAAATTGGTTTTGTTGTCAACAGTTGGTGGGAAACCAAGGGTTTGATTGTTGAGAATAAATCTGATCCGATCAGTAGGGCGAGAGCGTACACACTCGAGTTGTGATGTTGTCGAGCCACACCCGAGAGCGTCAGCCAAGGCTGACCACGACTTGTCGCCATCACCCTGATCCCCTAGGGCCTGACTTTGCATAATGGCGCCGCGAAATTGCGATGGACGCGGTGGGTTGGCGAGGATCTGCTTAACCGAATAAGCTCCCGCAGACTCACCAAAAATCGTCACTTTCGATGGATCCCCACCAAACGCCCGAATGTTCTGGGATACCCATGCGAGTGCTTGTCGCTGATCCATGAATCCAAGATTCCTTTCCTCTGGGGCAAGCTGAGGGGAGGTAGGGAAACCGAAAACTGCGAAGTGTAAGCTGGATGTTCTTCGCTTGGTTGAGGACCAGATTAAATACCATTTGTCCTATAATTTGTGGTCACAACAATAATGTCCTGCTGCGCCGCCAGTACAGAGCCGTCGTACTCTGGAACACTGGCTGACCCAAGCTGCAGGCTGCCGCCATGGATCCACAGCATGACTGGCTTGCCACTATCCACAGCGGTGCCCGTTGGAGCAAATACGTTGAGATAGAGGCAATCCTCGCTCTCTGGCAGAGGTGGATCGTCGAATATTGCCCTGAAATCATCACCTAAATCGAACATCAGTAAAGTTCACTATTGACCTGGGTACTGAATGGATAGACAATACTAATAAACTGCTGAATGCAAGCCGGCTTGAATTGTGTAGCATTCAATGGTGAATTCCAAGGCAAAGGTTTCTGTGGAGGCGAGAAGCGAACCGGTGGTGATTGTGCGAACGGGATACCGAGGTACTTGTTTATATGCGCCGCAGATGACAAAGGATACGTTGTGGTTGTGCCAATGACGACGCCGCCAGCCACCGTGGCCGTCGGAAATGCGCCATCTGTTGCACAAGAAGAGTGAGCGGCGGTTAGTGACGACACCAAACTGAGAGTTATTATGGCAAGCTTGGAAATTCCCATGGTTATCACCGGAAGTCTTGAGATTATATGCAAGAGTGGTTGAGTTTGAAGAATGTGAACGCCTTCTTAATACTCGTCGTCGAAGTAAATGGGTAAGGCGCTCCGTGCAAAGACGGAATAAACTGACTGCTCCGATCAATGGTCCTCGGACATCCGATCTCCGAGACAACTATACTGGCATTTGCTATACAAAACTGCCTAGGTACCTAGATTCTAGGTAAGGTGTTGCGATTCCTAATCGTCAATAAACTCCAGGGCTTCGGAACCAAGGAGCTACCCGAGAAGGCACTTTTCGGGGTGCATCAGTTCCGAACACGGCGTCCGAGAAGAGTAGCGTCCGAGGTCCGACTCTGCTTTCTCAAGGAGCCGCACAGTACTATAAGAGTGAGTGAACCTCTCTAAATTATCGCTCACAACTCTCAACTGATTACGTTTCTCTTTCCTCAATCCAACCAATTGCCCGGAGCAGCTGTGCACCACAACATGTAAGTAAGCTTTCCCCATCTTTTCGCACAAACAAACCTAGTGCTAACTCACATCTCTCGCGCACTTGGAGATTGCCATCATGCTCGTCCTTATCGCTGGTGTCACTGGAAATCTAGGCCAAAAGCTTGTTCACAGTCTGGTCGCTCGAGGCCATGACGTTCGGGGCCTCGGTCGAAATCCGTCCAAAATGGCACAAGGAACCCGTACCCTTTTGCATTCTTTTGTTGAATGCGCGTTCTTCTACGATGTCACGGCTTTAGACCGTGCTTGCGCTGGTGTTGACGCTGTTATCTGCGCCTACGGCATGAATCCCCGTCTTCAACTTGACGGGCAACTCCTCCTCCTTCACGCAGCGGAGCGAGCTGGAATCGAACGATTTGTGGCTGCCAGCTGGAACCATGACTGGCGGAGTCTGGAACTTGGAAAGCACGAGAGCTATGACCCATACATCTCCTTCCGGCGTCAGGTCGAATTGATGTCTAACATCAAGCCGATCTACGTTTTCAACGGAATCTTCGCGGAAACCCTCTTTTCTTTTGCCGATCATGGCCATTTTGGGCCTGATCAGCCGAACTTGTGGAACCCCGCCGAGAAGAGAATGAAAATATGGGGAACTGGGCATACAGTCTGGTACTGGACGACTGAGAGAGATGCGGCCGAATTCACGGCCGAAATAGTACAGCGCGATGACGCCGTTCGGGGTGGCTTTTGGAACGTGTGCTCGGGAGCGCATTCTTTGCTTGAAATCGTCCAAACTTACGAACAGAGCCAGGGAAAAAAGGTCGCTCTTGACAAGATGGGGACCGTGGAAGATCTGCGCGCGAAGGCTCTGCGTGCCAGGGAACACGGAGACAAAAGACACTTTGAGCGTTACATTGGATGGTTTTACCAACTCCACGCCATCGATGGAACGTGGACTTTCCCAAAGCTTGACAATGACAAGCTGAAGGTCAAGACGACGTCTCTGGAAGAGTTTTGGAGGAATCATCCCGAAATCTAGATATATGATATGTGACAAACGCATGCCAGCAGCTAGCCATTGCCACTACATTGTGTACAAAATTGGCCTAATTGAGCCTCCAATATCCATCAACGAAGGAGCTAGATAACCCAAGCCTTGAATGTAGCAGCGGAATCGTAAAACTTTCGACATAGTAAACTCGTAGTCATTTGAGACTGGCCCTTTCTCGCGACTTTATGAAAGGTTTGATTGAACAGTGTACGTGAGGAAGCCAGTGTTTATTGCTACTCTTGGCATCGCCCAGATAGAGTTCTTTTCTTAAATTCATGGCGTTCAGGAGGCAAACTCAATTCCAAAAGGGGTTAGCTTCGGAACTTCGGAGGGCGATTGACTTCCGACGTATTCTTGAATTTTCTTGCATAATTAAGATGTCTACCAATATTGTGGCTGTAATTCTTTCTGGTTCTTACATTCGAAAAGAAGAACAAACTTTCTTTATCCAGTCCTAAGCTAAGAAGTTCGAGTTGTGATTTGCGTGAAATGCCCGCTTCGCGGTTATGTGCTGAAGAAGCATTGGCTGTACGTCTCCTGAATCCACAATATGAGAAACCGTCTTGCCATTAACCATCAATCATAGTGTGACCTATGTTTTGCTAGAAAGGTACCCTCTTATTCGCAAGCGTTATGCTTTGCGTGCTCACAGAAACCTTGTTGATAGGTCAAATGTGATCGAGGTAACCCCTGCGGTGGTTGCCTCGAATCAAAGGTTCGGTGTCTTCGGTCTCGCCCTAGGCGAGCTCGCAAATCCGGAGTTGCGCAAAAAAGGTAAGTAAAAACATGAATTAATACGATGCACAAACTGATTCACCACCCTGCCATTGCCATTAGCAACGAACGAATTCACAGTATCATCAAACGGCTTTCAAGTTTGGAAGACTCGCTCGCCGATGTCACCTCGTTAGCTGCAGCATCCAAATCGAGCCCATGCAGTCGCGGCATTGCTCCCGCGAATGAGGCCTCGAAGCCTATCTCTAGCTTATCATCTAACTCTAGTACTACATTGGCGCACAACAAGACAGGGTATCCATTATGCAATGACGAGGCCTCTCTCCATAGGACCACGCATCTGCACTATACAAATGGTGCCTTACCCAGCGACAACGACTTGAGCTCACTGGCGATAGAGGGTTTGGAACCTACCTCTCTATACCCGCCATGCTTGGAAGCTCGATCTTTCCTTCTGGATCAACTGAGAGACAACGGACCTTCCGGCACTAGCCGGCGTATTGTTCTCGAGTCTGCTCTTTCCTTCGTCGAGCGAATGCCCAATCGGGAATCCGTTGCTAGAGGTCAAACCCCACAGGACCCCGATACGCGAGTGAGTGTCGCTAGTTTGTTTGAAGAGCCTCCTATTACGGTTGACCTTTTATACACCATGCTTAACGGTAATGAATATAATCTCCCTGGAAAGTGTGCCTACATTATTGCTCACATATCCCAGACGATGCTAAGGCCTCACAAAGAGCCTATCTCTATGAATACACTTTCTGTATCCGCCCTCTCACACTGCAGAAGATGGCCTTTGCGCTTCTCGAGAAAGATGGAAATGAACAGACCTTGCTTCAGTACACTGTGTGTGTGCACTGTAAAGCTTATTGCTACATCGCATCTCTTCCACTTTCCACTCAGAGTCTACAAATGCAAAGACATCTACGGCAGAAAGCTCAGAGGCATATGGATAGCGCAATAGCTGCACTAGACTGCCTTAGTCTCAGTCTCAAACCAAGTCTGCTATTTATGCAGACGCTACTCGCTGGTGTAAGTGTCTCTGCCTTTGCATTGGGCTTTTGAATCTTCTTACAAGTGTTCACTGATTTCCCAGGGCATTTTATCCCAATACCAAGGGGACACGGCCAAATGTTGGACCCTGATCGCTCATGCCTCAACTATTTGCAAGGCACTTGGCTGGCACGATCCCACTAGCTTCACATTCGATCCGCAGAATGAGGCTGAGTCGGAAATTTTTGCAGCCGTGCACCAATGTTACGTGCTTGATAAGTCTATCTCCATGAAACACAATAGACCTGTTTCTCTGCCGGGTTTAGGCTATCTATCTAGTTTATCGGAAACTCGTTTCGTTGGAGGGCCTTTCTCAGTCGTCATCAAGGCTAGTCTACTTCACGCACAGATCCAGGACAAAATCATCCAACAATTGCAGTCAAATTCTCACCTTAGCGAAACTGATCGCGTTGCGATTGTCACATCACTTTCAGAGGAATTAAGTGTTTTGAGGTCTGAATATGACCAGGTAGGTCTGTTTATGCCAATTTGCGAATCATTTACTGAGTTTCAAGTAGGTCAGATCTCAGCCGGGCAATGCTGGCGATCGTTACCTTCATCAACAATTTATTGCTTTGGATTTTACACATTACTCTCTACTGACCGTGATTTGCCGATATGACCCTTCCATCAACACGGCTGCCGAGTCACGAGAGAAGTGTTTGTTGTACGCGCGTGAGGCCCTTCTTTCCGTAAAATGGCTACGAAACCGACGAGAAGGATCTGATCAAGGCTCGGAATTCTGTTCTGTATTCATTACGTGGTATGAAAGTCCTCCAAACCTTGACATCTCTTGTCTGCTCGATTTTGAGGACTTCTTTAACAGTTGTCTAGGAGCATGCTGATGTTCCCACTGAGCCCTTACTACATCATCTTTTGTAATGTTGTCGCGACATCGCACAGGCAGGACTTCCAGCTCTTGTCGGACATTGTGGAGATTCTGGCAGGGGTCCCTGACATTAACTCCTCTATCTGCCAGTTGCACAACCTATGCTCCATGCTTGTAAATTTATGCAAGTCATTGATGAACTCTAGGGATGGAACCAAGGGTGTCCCACCAGTGCTAACTCAAACACCTATCACTAATAGTGACATGTCTATTGGGCTGAACTCCTTCAATACGGCCGGCTCAGAAATAGAGGCCCCGAGCGGTCATCAGCATTTGCCGATATTTGGTCGGGGTATGGATTGGTCCTCTCCCCATTCTGTCGCGAGGAAAGAGGAATCATGCCCGACGGCCCCCGCCCCCATCAGCGGAGAGAACATTCCCACCTGGAACGAAGACATTCTATGGCAGCTGTTTGACATGCAGCCCTCCTTGGAATGTTTGGAGAGGGATACACTTCCAGCAATGAGTGACTTGACATGATTAGTATTACCCCATGAGGCAGCATGGAAGTCGTCTCCAATGTAGCTAAGTCATTCGACCTTCTTTGATTGAGAATCCTACAATTGGTACTGGAAGAAATCGCGGTTGATTATAGATAGTTCTGTAGCTGCGGCGTAATATCTCACTCGCTTATCCACTTCGCTATTGTGTACATATGCAATACCTGTGGAATAGCTGCCTACGCCCACTGCCACTGAGAACGGGTAGGTTATTTTGCGCTGTTGGATCATTCATCTGCAAGTATTGGCCCTTGGTTTCTATCGCAGAACATCTTAACCATGCGTCTGGCTCTTGGTACCTGCCGCTTGCCGTGACTATGACGATACTTAACGCCTCCATGACTCTCCTTATCACAGCTCAACTTTTCGAATTCCATGTCAGGCCGCAACCAAAATGAAATTACACAGACATTCTCAAGCCCTTCTCGAGGGATGGCATTGATCGGATAGTTTCATTTCCACATTTGTTACACTGATATCGATCAGGGCCCAAAATAATCTTGGAATTCTGAACCCCTCACGTGATTGTCAAAGAGGTGTCGGTGGGTCCAAGAAGACGAAATGCAACCGCTAAGTAATATTTAGGGATCTGTTAAAAACACACCCCCTGCCGCTAGTCACAACCCCCCCCATTATCAAAAAGGGTAAGCGCAGTCTCCGTATTTCCTCCTTTTGTGACAGCGGTACACCCTGCTACAGCTAAATTACTATGGCAGCAGATGAAGATCTGTCGCCCGATAAGCACCCTGGGAGACTCGCTTGTAGTCACGTGGCATATCAACTTCCAATTTCCGAACATTCCAGTTCGCACAGTAAAAGCACCCTTCTACAAGCTACTTTTTACCTCTATTTTGGCCCCTCAAAACACTCGATTTAAGCTAATTTTGACTATATCACAGGCCCTCCACCGTACGAAGTGCTCTTAAAACTCGATCACGCCCGTCATATTGGCTGGCACTGCGTTATACTTAGACCTTGACATTTCCCATGGGCACCCTAGAATCTTCGGCCCACCGTACATGCCCATAGATCCCATGGGCCGGGCACCCCCCCTTGGTGCAGCCCATGGGAAATATGGGAATTCCTATAGGACTAAAAAAATTCCCACGCTAGCATCACTAACCTAAAATAGATGGATAAAATGCTGAGTTATCATAATAACTTACCGTTATTTACACTTGTTTTTATTAGTAGTCATCTTCAACCATATTGCTCCTATAATATTAGTTGAAATTTTATAAAATGAACCCGTATTTATTGATTTAATATTGTTATAACTAACCTAAGTAAAATTTAAAGTCTAGTGATCTCCTTTACTGGTGCAAAAAGGAAATTATAGTAGAATGTGTGTATTATAAGAGAGAGATATATTTCTATCCTACACCCGCGTTTCATACTTTATACGCTGTCTTTCATCCGAAAGTCTTTTATTTATAGCTCATCCGGGGGGCCGCCCCCCGGATGAGAAATAAAGAACCTACACTACCACTATACCGTGTGTTTTCCTTCTAAAAAAAAAAATGCGCCGACGAAACTACTATGATACTAGTCCCTCCTCCTAGGTTGCCTCTTTGCAAATTGCAAGTGACACTCTAGATGACTTCTTTTCCTTACACTTTGACGACCAGCCCCTTACCCTAGTCAGTCAATTATGATCTTCCGTTATAGGACGAAAGCAACACCCAGATACATATGTCAATAAGGGGTCGGGGTCAGAAGCGTCCTAGGAGTGAGGATGATATATATGATTATTATAATTGATTCGTAGTAATACGAAGAATAAATTCTTTTTAAGCCTCTTATCTCATTTAATGCCGACCATGTTGTAGCATTAAATTCGTTGTAAATGAAATACCTAAAAAAACCAGCATAAAGCCATACAACTATGCAAGTCACCAGTTTCTCCCTGTTCGCATTGGTTGTAGTCCCATAGGAATTCCCATATTTCCCATGGGACTCCCACGGGGGTTCTAGTCCCACCATGGGAAATGTCAAGGTCTACTTTATTTATTTGTAATTTATAATATAGAAGGCCATTTTGATTGAATCCTTTTACACCCTCTTTGAAATTAGATATAAAAGCAATAATATACAACATGTGTATATCGAGATGTAATTAGGATATAGTGCGTTTTAGTGGGGTATAGGTTTAAGTGGGTACAGACCTTTAGTAATATTGTATAAAAATCAATATAAATATATAAATAGATAAAATCAAGGCATAAAAGCTGAGCGGGACCTGCACAAAGCTAGGACCCGATCAGGTGCAAGAGCTGAACGGGACCCGTCATTAGTCATCATTTTCACGGGTCCCGCTGAGCTGGGTGCCCAAAGTAAATATAGGAAATGACGGGACGGGGAAGTGTATTTCCGGCTGACACAAACCATGCGATCCTTTCTGAATCACAATGCCACTGGCGCAAGCAAAAGCGCAGATGCAGCTTCAATGATGCCCCCAAAGGTGAACACGCCTAAGAAGAACGACTTGAAAGCCCTCCAACAGATCATTCGCTATGCAGAAGGAGCACAAAGCATTGAAGAAGGCTGCGATTTGATTGGCAAGAGCGTGCAAAGTAGAGTTGTTTTTGGGGGACAAAGAGGTTTCTTGCACGAAAAATGAGTCCCTCTGTACTTCAGATCATTTACGAGACAATTTCAAGGATCAATTAAAAAGCCTAGGTGATCAATTGAGAATGTTGTGATGCGCTTCCTAGATTGACCAGTTTGTTCAAAGATCAAGAACTCCTAAACACTGTTCCAGAACTCTACTTTCTGCAGACCGACCTCGGCTATGCAAGCAACCGTAGTCCACAATCCCAACAGGAAGTTCTCCCAATGAATGCGCCCGCCACTTTCAAGCTTCTTAGAATCGAACCGAACAATCTGCGTCACAATAGAAAGGGTCCAAACCGCCATCCAAGAGAACCACAGCCAGGGAGAGTTGATTTTCAACACAACATACGGAATCACCGCCAGCGGTAGAGCACCCAGGAAGGCGAGGAATAACCGGATGCGTTGCCCCGCGACCACGTAGGCAGAATTGATGTTCATCTTCCGGTCGTCGACGCTGTCCTGGTGACTGTAGGCGGTGTTGAAATAGAGGCACCAGAAGAAGATGAGAAGGCAGATCGGGGTACAATGTGTGAAGATCTCAGACATGGACTGCTCTTGCCCGTTGATTGAGGCCCAGCCTGTTATCGATGGGTAGGCGACGGCCAGGCCGAGGATATACTGGGGGTAGATGAAGACTTTGCTGAATACGGGTCGTTTCAAGTAGGGATATAGCATGATACTGGCTGTCAAAGGCAGCATTAGGCCCCATCTAAGAGGGATGGACGGGTTAATCAAGTTGGGCTCTTCCATGCGCCGGGGGTATACAACACTGAATGTCATACTTACATGCTTCTGTTATCCAATATCAAGTCCAGCATTTTCACCGACAGAAAATACTGACCGACCATCCACACCAGGGCCTCGACGGTTGAGACTTTTCCAGATGCCAACGGCCGCATTTTTGTCCTTTCCACCCTGGCGTCAATATCACGGTCCACCAAGTCGTTCCATGTGTTCCCAGCACCGCATAGTAACAAGCAGTGTACAAAGCACAGACCGGCTTTGACGAAGATGTACTCGACGGAGAGACTGGCGGGGTCCTCTTGCAACTTCAAAGCGCCAGCAATCAAGGTAGACCATACTGTTTTGCAACGGAAATTCGAAGTTAATACTTTATTCATAAGAGAGCTAAGAATAGGAGCTCATCTTACCAGCAGCCATCATCGTGTAGTAGGGCATATATCGGTTGAACCGCGAGGTGCTGATCAGAAGACAGGCAAGGTCCCATGAACCAGGCTTCTCCATTGAACTGACCATGTTGATGAAAGCAATGCAGTATAGTATTAGAGTATGGCAAATATCCTTCAAAGACGGAAACTCGAAATCTTTGCAGATGAGGTAGGAAATTGGGCTGTCCTTGAGAACTATCAAAAGTTATATCCGGTGTCGCAGCAGAGAGCACTTCTGGGGGCGATATCCTGTACTATACGAGGCCAGGTTTTTCTACATTGCTGCATCATCCTGCAGTCTGCTGCCCCCACGTTGCCGTATCCACGTTATGGCGACGATCAGACAAATGAATTCCTAATGGCGATGCATGAAAATAACGACTAAGACACAGACGGGTGGACAGGTGCATGAGTGACGAGGAATGCTCCATCTTACCGCAGCGAGAGCCACCGTCTCACCGAGGAGCCTATCGTGACCGAGCTGCTTCCTATGCCCTAATGCATGTATACCAATGTACTAGTTAGGTAATATGCGGGCAGTATTTACCATACATGTATGTACTTTTGGAAAAGCACTGTATAACTAGTATATCTCAATAAACAATAATAGTGGCCCAAGGCCAGGCCTATGCAAGAGACTCGATGGGGATAAGATCAGCCTCACGATACAACCCTGCGGGCTGACTCCATCCTTTGGAGAATGCTTACTAGATCCACACATAACCTTGGAAGAATCCATGCCATGTTGAGGAATAATACAAATATGTAAACAGTTACAGAAAATGTCGAATAAAATAAATATAATATTATCTTTGTTTTAAGACGTCCACGGTACATGTGATACCCATTTATGGGTTTACGGTTAAAATAGAATAGTTGCCTTGTGTCTTTTTTTCAGTGTATCTTGCGTATAATTGGGTGCAAGGAGAGAGGAATAGTAGCCTACAATGACCTAACGATCAAGAATAATCAACACCTTGGACTATTGCTTCCCGTCTGCGTTTCGGGCTTTGCTTCAAGCCCGCCTGAATTTCGATCTTCTACAGTACTTGTATTACGACCAGCTAGTTACATGTAAATGGTGCCACATAAATAGCCCCTTTCTATGGGCCTTGGGGCCATTAATCACTTAAATATCAGAGCTTTCTATACGGGATTGAGATACCCTTCCAAACTACAATATCCACGTTATGGATAACGGCACAGCTTTCTTTACGACTCCACCGTTCTCTGCGACCGCCAGAGCTATTTTCGATACCACGCCGCAATGGTTTTCATTTGCCGTGGGCTTGTTGATTGCGTACCCCCTTCTCATCAATTCGTTGCGCCATAGACGACTTAGAAAGCTACAAAAGAAGTTCTACTTCCCGACGCGCGAGTCTATGGCTAAGATGACAGACGAAGAAGCATTCCAAATTCAAAAGGAAACGGCGCAGCTAGAATTCCCATTCATGTTTGTGAAAGCCGGGCAGTTTGCTTTATTCCGGGTATGCAAATATATCTCATTTATTTATACACCAATATATATTTTTCTTAATCTAACCTTCTCTAGACTTACGGCATTCCAACAATCTCCCACCTTCTCACAAAGACAGGCCAATTTTCTAAACCAGAAACCTCCTTCAAGCGCTATACGGACACAGCCGCCCTCATCGGCGAAATGGTAGAAAATAGCCCCACCTCGCAACGGGCTTTCATCTCTGTAGCCCGCACGCGTTTTCTACACAGCGGCTACCAAGCTTCAGGCAAGATCCTTGATACAGATTTGCTCTACACACTTGCGCTCTTTGCGGTCCAGCCTGTAAATTTCATCGCGGCATTCGAGTGGCGACCGCTAAGTGATTTGGAACGCTGTGCTATTGGGACGTTTTGGAAGAGTCTAGGTGACGCGCTAGGTATTAGTTCTGACATCCTCCCGTCGGGTAAGACGGGGTTTAGGGATGGGATTCAGTGGCTCGAGGAGGCGGATACTTGGAGTCAGGAGTATGAGGCCAAGTATATGGTTCCAGATGCTCAGAATCGGGAATCAGCGGATCAGGCAACAGCTGTGTTGCTTTATAATTTGCCCAAGGCATTCCATCCGGTGGGATTGCAGTTCACTTCGTTTATGATGGATGACCGGTTGAGGAAGGCTATGTTGTATGTGGAATAGTCGCACCTGAGATCACAAGATCTGATTTTATACAACGAAATATCGAGCACTAACATAAACTAGATACGAACCACCAACGCCCTTCTGGACGAAAGTCTTCTCTACCCTCCTAATAACCCGCAAATTCATTCTCCGCTACCTAACACCCCCACGACCTTTGTTCTTCGCGGTGTCAAATACAACCAAGCAACCCGATACAAACAACCGCTACCACCGCAAGTCTTGGGACGCACTTCCCTACTACGTGAAACCAACATTTTGGAATAGATGGGGTCCAACGGCGTGGGTTGCCTGGGGGCGCGGTCATCCTGTCCCGGGCGACCAGGGCGAGAAGTACTATCCGAAGGGGTATCATATTCACGATATCGGGCCGAAGTATTTTGAAGGAAAGGGGCAGAAGGCAATTGAGGAGACAATGAAGGAACTGAAGATTTCTAGGACGGGGAAGTGTCCTTTTCATTAGTTTAAAGTAAATCTTATGATTCAGTGAAGTATTGGAGAGCGCATGGGATACTTGGAAGAAAAGCAGATCTATACAGTCTACTAAACTCTTAGATTGTAAAATGAAAGACAGAGTAACTTCGTATTTCTTGCTCAGAAATAATTGTATTCTGAGACTATTCTGAGACCAGGAAGAAAGATTAGAGAAACTTTCATCTGATGATAAGGAGGTGACAGAGGAGCAAGGAAGAGTTGGTTGAAGAACTTAGCGACATGTATATTTTCTGGTGAAGTGAGAAGAACAGCAATTAGATGCTGTGAGCTTACCAGTATCACAAATGTGAAGTTATTCCCACATGTTACCTCAAAAACATCGTTCTGACTTTTCAAACTTCCCCTCTTCCAAGCTTTCCTATAGTTTCTTCCCTTCTCACTCTCCAAACTCTCGTTTATACCTCACTCTTTCATATATCGACACGAGCTTTCTATCTCTTCTTCCTCTCTTCCCATTTATTTTTTACCATCTCAAGCTTATTTTCACCAGCAACAATGCCTGTTCCTACATTCGTTTTCTTCGTCCTTGTTGCGGCCATGGCCGCTTACTGGCACACCGACGTGTTCCAACTTGTTGGATGTATTATTGTTTCTTTCGCCCTGTTCGTTGCGGGGATTTGCTCCATAAGCAGGCAAGTTCGGAGGTTCAATCCCTCATATGTTCCCTCTGTATGACGAACCTGTGGGTCATGTCTCATGACACCAAAGGAGTTGCCAAGAATGCCTTGGCCCAAATACCCATCCGAATAAACCGTCCAAGTCGCATCCCATGTCCCATCCAGATACTACCACCCCCCCCCCGAAATTCATCCAAATAAGTATTGAGACTAGCATTAAGTAATCCTCGTACATGGCTGTTCTGTTTGCTGCAATATATGGCACAACCTAGGCGCTGCTAGTAATTGAGGTTATTCAAAATGCTCCAGCGTTAGTGAACCCGAACATATTCATTTTCTCGCCCGTTCTGGATGTTGTGGATATAGGAAGACCTCAATATAATCCTCAAATTGTAATGTCTAATGCGGAAGCAAAACTTGAATCTAACTCTAATCCTCATAGCTATAACCCTTAGAGTGAACGTGTCTTTTCAAAAATTCATACCCATCAACCACCGCTTCCTTCGCATCCTGGCCAGCATGAGAGCTCGGATAAAGATCAAATAGATGCACCGCTCCCTGCACCACCCTGATATCCGCCTCAATGCCTTTTTTGACCAACGCGCTATATGTTGACTCGGTCTGCGCGCACGGGACAAGGTCATCGCTCGTTCCATGAACCATAAACGTAGGTGTGCGGTACCGCCCAATGCGGATCTGATAGTTTGGACTAACTGCCTGAATCTCTTCGTCTGTCGGACGAGGTAGGTCATTGGGGCTGCGACCCTCCTTGTGCATGCGTCCCAACAGCACAGGGAGGGTTTGTCCCGTCCAATTCATGTGCAATGCAATCCGACTGCGCCGGTCGCTGGTTGACATCCAGCCCCCGAGTGGCCGTTCCTTGAACGCTGGATTATAGCCCTTGATCGGGGCGCTCTGCACGCCTTCCCAGACATCGTACTCCATATAATTTGATGCGACTGTCTGTCCAAAGGGGAAGTTTGGCCTCGACCAAAATGGATCTTCATAATCGGTTGGACAGTAGAAAGCCAATATGGCCTCTGGAGCGGTGATTCCCACAGCGGGAGCCGTAAACGCCAGCGTCATTGCGAGATGACCACCAGTGGACCACCCGATGGCCACAACCTGGTTCCCGTCCGGTCGGATATCTGGACGCAGCAAGGGGAGATTTGGGAGGATGCGGCGCACCCAACCTAGGGCGTCGCGCATGTCGGCCATAGGACCTTCTGCAAGGCTTACCTCAGGGCATAGGCGGTAGTCGACGCTGACAGGCAGGAATCCGGCGTCGAGAAGGGTTTGTGTCTGGGCCGGACGGATGTCTTTACGAGATAGCATGACGTGGCCACCTCCATGAATCATCAGAGCTGAAGAGAAGGGTTAACAAATGAAATTATGAAACGGAGTTATTACGAGGGACAAAAGATGAATCTGAACTTACCAATTGGTCGTCGTTTCCGCGTAGTGTCAACCACGTCGGGATAGTATATATCAGCCAGCAGCTGCAGACCATCCCTATCACCCCAAACGACAGTTTCCATCTTTGCCGTCTTGGAGCGAATCTCCAGAGCAGAAGAGACTTTCGCCGGTGATGCGACAATGACACGCAGGGCATTCGACTCTAAAGTCTCATTATTCGTCCAGCCCACCCACTCGAAGCCAGATTGGCGAAGCGTCTGATCCCAAAGATTTTCGGTGGCCAGCGCGTGGTTCCGACCGTCCTCGAACCACCACCAGCCCTCCAGGAGTCCGAACACAAGATCCAACCAGAATATGTCACGGGTCAGCTCGACGAGACACAAGATCCCATCAGGCCGGAGGAGCTTGCGGATATTTGAGCAGGACTCGACGAGATTTCGGGTAGCATGGACGCAGTTGGTCGACAACACAATGTCGTACTGGCCGTGCAAGAGCGAGGGAGGGCTGCTCTCCACGTTAAGAGTTTCGTACCGTACGAAACCATAGTTGGAAAACTTCTTCTGCGCGGCTGCAACAAGCGATGGCGAGATATCCGTGAAGGTATACTCCACGCGTGTCGCCATTCCAGGGAGGGCCAAGAGCTGCTCGAGGAGATTCTTGGTGGTGCCTCCTGTGCCGGCCCCGATCTCGAGGATTTTAACCTGCCGACCGTTACCGAGAGCTTGGATGACATCCGTGAGATACTGCGCGAGGTAGAGGTTACCCGACTTGAACACCGGGGAGTCCGTATAGACATCTCCTACCAGGCGCCGAGTCTGGGAATCCTGGAAAATCAGCGATAACCCGTCCGCTTGCCCGGTCAGGCACTCAGCCAATCGCGAGCCTGTGATCTGGAGAAGATCGTGCTCCAGTGCATATGGAGGGTGTTCATCCCGGATCTGGGCGTGCAAGGCGTGCGATGGGAGCGGCAAGATGGGTGTTGCTGTGCGCACGAGTTGACCAGTTGGAGTTTGGCGCACGAGGTTGACGGATTCCAAAATTGTATACAGGTGCTTCTTCAACTGCTCGTGGCGTGGTAGGACGGAAATAATAGGGAGGACCTCATCTGGCTGACTGGACTCTAGTGGGGAGCCCAAGGCGCGGAATGCTTCCAGGATGTACGCCGTGATGAGTGTCATTTGCTGCGGATAGATGGCATTGAAGAAGCCGGCCCAGTGGGCATTGTGTGTGTGAGATACCGCGGCGTGTGTCTCATAGAAGCATTGGTATGCCGCTGAGGCTAGCGATGGTCCGCCGTCAGCTGGCACGGGCAGAGGAGTTACAGTTTGCGGTATCACTGTCTGCTGCCGTACTGGTTCGATCACAACCCGCGAAGGAGCTAGGTGAGAATGACCGGGGAAGATATGCTCTGTCAAACCCTGGATGTTGGGAATATCCACCAAGGTGGAATACGAAATATCCACATAAAATCTCTTCTTTATTTCGGAGAGCACTTCTGTGCTCATGAGCGAGTCCACTCCGATATCGATCAGCGAGACTGATGGAGATACCTCTTCGACACCAACTCCAAACAGCTCGCAAAGCATTCCTTGGACAGCAGCAAGGTCGCCATCCACATTTACACTGTCACTGGCTTCGTCATGGTCGGCTGTCACAATTGCTGGCTGTGTCTTGGGCGGGAGTTGTGGGACGGACATGTGATCCGCGCCGTTAGGGAAATTGTTGTTCAGCTTGGCCAGTGCGCGAGTGAGAGAGCGGATGGAGACACTCATGAACCGAACGCCCATCATTGCGGCGGTAAGACCGTCTCCTTGAGAGTTCATCACGTAGATGTCGCACACGATCTCGTTCTTGGACGGCCGGACGTAGTTGGTGTATACCTTCCATGACAACGGAATAGCTCCGTCTTCCTTCTTGACCAATGACTTGCTAACGAACGTTTCCCCGATAGCGTTGCACACGAAGACTTCCTCTGCTTCGCGGCCAGAGAGGCAGTTGACGTGAATTCCTGCAACTTGCAGAAAGTTGTCCAGGAGGATGGGGTTGCAGGTGGTCTCAGTGGCTGACGGCGCCATACTGACCAGCCCCGCAGCCTCACGGCCATTTGCAAACACCTGCCTCACTCCGCGGAAGTAGTCTGCATAGTTGGTGACCTGTTCGAGGGCAGAGTAGACCGTCGATCCTTTCAGTCCGTTTGATGCCAGATGATCCTCAATTCCTCTTGCTCGTGCCGGGTCCATCAACCGATCCATAGACTGAAAGCGGGATAGAGTCCTGGACCTTTCGTTGCACAAGCAGACACTGCCTGTGGCGTGAATCGATGACTCACTACCCGTCTCGCTACTGCTGAAGACCGAGAATGACCACGGCTGGGAAGGGCCCACTCCGTCTGGGATCAGTCGTACGAACACGCTTCCTTGCAGATCTAATACTAGGGGGGATGATATGGCCAAGTCCTCGATATGAGACATAGCCAGCGTTGAGGATTCACCCAAGGTAAAGACGGAAGTTGCTGCCCGCAGGACCATTTCCATATACATGGATGCGGGACACAACGTCTGGTCCAATACCGCGTGCCCCTTCGTGCATGACCTGTACAATGCATCTTGGGTGTTAACGGCAAACAGATACTCCTCTGGGCCGTCGCTCAACTTGTGCAACAGGCCGGCTTGCTCCTGACTCCTACATTGCGGTTCCGCCGAGGAGCCAGAAAAGGAGAAAGCAGTAGGGTCAAAGTCAACCCAGTGGCTGTTCTTCGCGAACTGATACGGCGGAAGGTTCATCCAGCCGAAGGTCCCACGCTGCGCTTGATAGAAGGGCCAGAACTGGACATGGACGCCCTGTCCCCAAAGGGCGCTGGTGACAGTTGCCAAATTCCGGGTTCCGTCCGACCCATCGAGGTCAACCTTGTGGTATGTGTGAGTTGCAGACGATTTCTCCAGCACTCGACGCACCATGGGGATGATAGGCGAGGCTGAGCCGGCTTCGAGCCAGACGGCGGGAACTTGTAGTTTTTGAGCTATTCTTTCGACAGCGCGTTGGAAGTGCACAGGCATGCGGCTGTGCTCGACGATCTTTGCCGGGGTGACGATCGACCAGTCGCCGGTCGCCGAACAGGCTTCGATGGGAATAGCTGGTGCTTGGTAGACAAAGGACTCTGCGAGCTCTGTGAGGCCGGGCACAATGCTATCCACAAGTCTAGAGTGGAAGGCATGCGAGTTGTCCAAACGTCTGACCCTGACGTTACTCGTCAATGGGTTTGCAGTGAGAGCCTCTTCAACCGCCCGGATGGATTCCCCCGTGCCGGCAAGCACTTGTTGCCGTGGTCCATTATAGCAGGCAATGTCAGCACGGTGGCCTGTCTGCTCCAGCACCCGCTGGACCTCGGTCTGCGTACCCTCCACAGCGAGCATCACCCCAGACTCTGGACCCCAGTTGGTCTGGATCAGGCGCGCACGCTCAGTAACCAGGCGGATGCTGTCATGGACACTCAAACTGCCAGCCACGGATAGCGCAGTGAGCTGACCAAAGCTATGGCCCACGATGCGGTCTACGCGCAGTCCTGAGTCGATCCAGGCTCTGGCGGATGCGTACTGTATAGAGAAGAGCATGAAGTGCAGGTGAACGGTATTCGTGATCGGGTCTGATGTGAAGATACTTGGGAAAAGACTGGGAAGGCCGAGCTTCTGGCCTGCTTGCTCGCATGCCATGAGGTGCGTCTGTAAGAGGGCAGAGCTGTCGTAAAGTTCTTGTGAAATGCTCGACGTAACTCCATTCTGACCGCCGAAACACAGAACAATTGGAGGCTCATTAGATGGCCGCTTCTGGACGATATCGGCAGACTTATCTGCGGCAATAGCCTCCAAGCGGGTGCTCAGCGATGCCGGATCAGAAGAGGTTGAAAAAGTAAGATTAAACGGCAGTGTTCGATTCTGCTTCATTGCGAGGTTGTACGCCAATTTCCGGACCACGATATTGGACTGTGGGTGGCTCAAGAGGGTGGTACGAAGCGCACCGCAGTAGGCCCGAATAGATTCTTCAGACCGTGAAGAAATCAAGATAGGCACATCTCGAATGTATTCCATCATTGCCTTCCCCTGCCCCGAGAGGCTAGGAGTGTGCTCTCTCACTATAAGCGCAGCGTTGCTCCCCGATGCCCCGTAATTGCTGACCATGGCAACCCGTCTCGCTGATTCCCATTTGGTTGACTCTACGGGAATCACCAATCGGTCGTTCTCGAGCGGAGGCATGACCTTGGGATTCAACTGCCTGAAATTTGCCTGTTTCGGTATCCGTTGCTTCTGGAGCATGAGGATCGTCTTCAACAGCCCGGCGACCCCCGAGGAGGTCTCAGTGTGTCCGATGTTACCTTTGATGGACCCAACATGGAGACTCTGTCTTCGGTGCGGATTTCCAAATGCCTCGCGAACGCTTTCCAGTTCAATCGGATCTCCAACTTGTGTGCCTTTGACATTGTTACTAAACTGCAGGCGAAATGGAAGAGGGCAGAATAGAGCAGGATACATACCAGTGCCATGGGCCTCCACATAGGTGACCTCATCCGGGGCAACCCCAGCGAGCGACAAAGCTTTGTTATAGAGCGATCGTTGAGACTCCGCATCGGGGACGGTGATGGGTGACCTGTTCGAGCCCTGGTTGACGGCTGAGCCAGCGATCACGCCGAGGATAGGGTCGCCGTTGTCAATCGCATCTTGCAACGGCCGGAGAACAACGAGGCCAGCGCCCTCTCCGCGGCAATATCCATCCGCAGAGACGTCAAACGGCTTACATGCTCCAGTCGGTGACAGGAAAGAAGCAGCAGCCAGGTTCTGGTACACTCTGGGGTTTGTCAGAATATTCACACCGCCAGCCACAGCAATCGAGCACTCCTTTGTTTGCAGGGCCTATCATTTATACACCAGTTAGCCATCGCACTTTGACAAAAAGTAAAGGTGAGTCCCATCTCGTACCTTGCACGCCAGATGGATAGCCACTGCTGCGGATGAACACGCTGTATCCAGCGTAATCGATGGGCCCGACCAGCCGAAATGATGGCTGATACGGCCGGCTATAAATGACTGCAGGGTTCCTGTAACCGAAAAGGCATTTGCATGCCGCGACGCCACATTCTCAGTATAGTCCTCGGATCCCACGCCAACATAGCAGCCGATATCGTCCGACAGCTCAGTGTGCTGCCATCCGCAGTATCCGGCAGACTCCATGGCTTCATATGCTACTTGCAGCAACACGCGTTGTTGTGGATCCATGGACTCGGCCTCTCGCGCTGAGATATTGAAAAAACGATGGTCCAACGCATCTGGCCGGTCGAGGAAGTGACCCCAGAATGGGCCCTTCGGCTCCCGCTGCAGGTCTGGCATCCGGAACCGACTCTCAGGGGCCTTCTTCACTGTACATTCCCCCAGCTCCAGCAAATCCCATAGCTCGCTCGTGGTGTCTGCGTTAGGATATCTACAAGCCATGCCAGTGACGGCAATAGGCGGCATCTCAGCTGTCTGCGGACTACCATTGAGGGTGTGCGTGCCGTTCTGCAGCGACACTGCGGAGCGAGCCGACGTGTTTCCGTTAGCAAGCACTCGTGCCCCGTAGACATCAAGGTTGCTCCTGGCTACCAGATGGCCCCTTGCTGATCGTGGGACGAACTCTTCCTGGCCGATGGATAGAAGACGGGACTCGTCAATTTCCATATCGGCGCTGTTCAGTAATGCGGAGACTATTCCCCACCAGTTTGCCTTAGCGGAGAGAATCGACTCCAAGGCGACGGTGTGCAATATGGCTGCGTTTATGAGCACCTCCCCAGTCTGACTTGATCGAAGGGGTAGTATCAACGCGTTGCTGTGAGGGAGTTGAAAGCGAGGATCCTTCACACATAGCTTCATTATGTGCTGGATGCCTTCGCGGTGTGTTTGCTGGTGGTGAAAGCGGCCCCGGAGAGGAATCTGCTTTGTGTGCAGACCACGGCCGCTGAACTCCTGCTTCACCCGTTGTGCAGTGTCACCGGGGAGAGTTATAGTGACGCTGTTGACGTCTGTATAGCAGGAGATATATACCTTGGATGTCTATCAGTCTTTTGCTTTTGTTTCCTTTTCTTTTAATGGGGAGGAACTAACATTGGGATTCCTTGTCAAGATCTGTTCAAGATAGTCATGGTCCTCTGGAGACTCCCACCGCACTGCCATCGACTTAGCGTTGCCCGACACGATCTCATCGAAGTCTACCAACGCCCCAATACAGACAGCGAGCCGTATGGCGTTCGAAGCCAAAGACTGGAACTCCCGTGTATCCCGGGAGCAGGCCACGGCAATTGCCGCCAGAATACCCACACAGAACCCCTGTGTGTCAATTATCCTTGGGGCTGCGGTCTGTGATAATGACGAGGATGGAAACGCCGGATGTTTCGCAACATTTTGGAGATTCCAAAAGTCAACTAGATGTCTCATCACCGTGACTGGAGTCATAATGAGGCTTGGGGCTTCTGCCTCGCTATCTGGAGATCCATTCTCAAAACGCCGCCCCAGTGCAGCCAGGTGCCTCTCCCCCGACACCTTCTGTAGGGCTGGACAGGCAGCAGTTATGACGGACCATAAGGAGGGAAGCTCGTCAAGAATATCAGACAAGAACCCCAGGCCGGTTGGATCTTTGTATACGGCATCCCGGATGTGGGCGATGGAGCCTTCCATTTCAGAACATTGTGGTCCGAAGAGAAGACGAAGGCCTCCTTCTGAATGCTCTGTATTCAATGACATGACACGAAACTCAATGAAGAAACGAGCTTCTCGATAGATGTAAGAATCTAATAAGCTTCTGGTACGCCCTTCACGTACAGGATATAGTATAGTTACAGGTCTATAAGGAACTTGGTTCGGGTGAGGATATAAGTCTGATTGATATAAGGCAAAAGATGACAGGCTTAGTCCGCTACAAAACTATCGATCTCCTACTTACGGAAAAAATATGGGGGCCAGCTAGAGCCTCTGCAGGTTTAAGGTGGCCAAGAAAGTAAATTACCTGAATTACTATAACGAAGCACACGATTTTCATGGGCTCTGAGATTGAAGGTACTAAAATCAGAGTTTCGTTACATTACAAACTGATAGATTGCCTGAAAACTAGGTATTCTGGTATGACGTTGTCGCTGAGCTGTTCCGCAAGTAAGATTTCCTAAATTGCATCAAATTTAGGTAGTGAGATCCTTCGGCTCTGTTGTTCAAGCTATCTGGCAATATAACCTTGGAAACTTACTTTATCTCCCTGATTCTAAGCAGTTAAACAACCCTATTGTCCACCAACCCTTGCTAGAGCTATATAATGGCGTGCTGGCTTTCAAAGTTAGCCTTACTACATTATTTGAGAAGTCATTCAACAGGGCTCATGCATACATACTAACCTCAGGAGTTGGAATCTCAATATAGAAGGTGAGACGGAAATAACCACCATGTAATGCTAGTACAGATTGGACTATAGAATGGTCCAAATCCCGGAATTTTTACGCATTTTGATGCATGCGACCTCATGGCGCCTAGACCCCTCCCTAGCCATTGATTCATCCCTCCAACCTCGTTTCCCCCCTTTGATGATCGTCTCTTATCTCTCGGAACTGAAAATGGGGGTCTCGGGATTTAGTTCTATATCATTTTCCAAACTTGTTTTCACATACCTGCAAGTAAGTTACAGTAGCTTGGAGTCGGGTTCCAATGAGAAGACGTTTTTCCCCGCCTGGACGTGGGGCATGCCCGGGCCGGCTCCCACAGTTACGTTTATTCGGCCCGCAAGGGGCGTTCCGCGTACCAATCATCTCCTGCCGATCGGCATCCTTGCTTTAACAGGGCTGACATCCATCCCAAATTTCGGAAGTTCCGTAGAGGTGGGGTGTTGTCTTAGTTCTGGAGTATTTTTGGCTTTCAGGGGCGTGTTGTGTTACATTTACATTTTGTATCTTACATACTAGTATTGGCCCACGAAAAGTAGCAAACGAACTCATACTTTGATACGAGCGGTGGATCCGACGCTGCAGCAACCTTGGAATAAACCTTGTAGAGTGTATGTAATGTCGCAAAAATCCTTCCTTCGCCACTTCATTGCATTTGCTCCTTTAGGCCTCCCTTGTCGGCGCCAGCCGTCCCTCTGGGATGATCGCATAGTGCGGAAATACCAATCAAAAGCGCTCCATGGGCATCATTCTTAATATATACTGCCCTTTACTTGTTCGCTGGTAGGATCCCGTCTACACTGCATATACGTCGTGTTTGATATCTAGGATACTTCCGTAAAGGTAAAAGAGCGATTGCAAATCAATTTATTCTCTCAATTCTGGGAGATCCTATCTGCTTTCCAACACTGCCACGAACGCTTCTCACATAATGCGCGTTGAGGCACGGGGGCGATATGCGCAATAAGCTAGAGCGTATCCGATTGTATATTCCTGATAATGTACGCCAGGCTTTTGCCGATATGCAGCGTTACATGCATGAAGTATGTGGCTCTAGTGCTTCATTTCACCTGTGGATATTTTGTGGAGTGGGATATGGAGTGGGATAATATTCCCGACCTGCACAAGATGTACGTAATCCCGTGGGGCTATCTATTGAGGCTTATTGACTTGGGGCCAGATGCAGATGCAGACTAAGGTGCCTACATCTGGCAACCAGTCGTCATCCTATGACAATAGCCCGAGCAATCAATATGGAATTCGAGTGGAGTGCAGGTATACCATACAGTAAGACATCCAAAGGCTTGAACATCACACACTTGTTATAATACATGTGGGGTAGTCCGTTTCACTTTTTGTGGAGTGGTATTATGTGTATAGTCCTGATTCGCGTGCCGTATACGCAGTTGCGCGGGGCTATATGTGGGAGCATTCTAGATTTGGAGGTGGAGATGCATTGAGGCGCAAATTAGGCAACTGGCTATAGATTACGAAATATCAAGTTTCCATGAACTGTATTGATACGAACACAATCCAGTCGTGTAAAGAGGCGAGGTGCGTGCGGATGGACTCTGCCCTTTGGGCTAGTAGCTTGTTGTTCTATCAATAGCAATAAATGCTTTAGGGAATAGCTGCTAGACGATTGGTCTCAACCTTGGAAGTCTAGTTCATCTTCGTTCTCAATCCTCCAGCACAAGTATACATACAAGACATAAACTTATATACTATGGACTATCTGATCATAATACGTATCACAGCTGTTGCTGTTGTGCTATATCTCATCCGCTACGTTTGTCGCCTATACTTGCATCTCCAAAATGTACCAGGTCCGTTGTTTGCGAAGTTCACAAATCTGCAACGGGTGTGGTGGGTGAAGTCCGGACGAGCCCATGAATACCACCGTCAGATGCATGCTGTGTATGGGCCTGTCGTTCGATTCGGTCCAAACATGGTCTCTATCTCGGATCCTCGCGCCATCCCGGCTATCTACCCCAGTAGGCCCGGATTCCCCAAGGTCAGTAATGGTAGTACCAGAGGTATTGCGTCCAGTCATAATCGGATTTCAATGGCTAACATCCCTACCCCAAGAGCGACTTTTATCGCACGCAGAAGCCTTACACACCAAACAAGGGCGCCATGCCGGCGGTGTTCAATTCCCAAGACGAGGACCTTCATAAAAGGCTTCGAAGCCCGATTGCTCCTCTATATTCCATGACGAATGTGCTGAAGCTCGAGCCATTTGTCGATCAAACCCTCGCGGTACTGTTGAAACAGCTCGATGACCGGTTCCTATACAGCAACGATGTTCCGTTTGATCTGGGGAGCTGGCTTCAGTATTTTGCGTTTGATTCGATGGGGACATTGACGTTCTCTCGACGATATGGATTTCTGGAACAAGGCCGCGATATGAATGGAATCTTGGGCGAGATTTGGAAGTTTATGAAGAGAGTTTCCGTGGTGGGTTCTAGCTCTGCACGTCGTGCTACAATTGGTTTCTAATGCGTATGACTTTTTCAGATGGGTCAAATTCCATGGTTTGACGAGTTCTGTAATAACCCGCTCATAGCATTGTTCAGGTCGCCGACAGGGTTTGGGGTGTTGAAGGTAGTCGACAAGTTTATATCGCAGCGCTTGGCCCGTCGTGGAAAAGGCGAGGTTTTGGACGAGAAGGATATGCTCTCCCAGTTTCTCAATATACAGGCCTCAAACCCTGATGTTATGCCTTGGTAAAGAACTCTTGCCGCTGATCTATTTCTCTCTCTTGCCTTATATCCGGCTAACTCACATCCAGGGCCCCAAGAGCCTGGACTTTCTCTAATATCCTGGCTGGCTCGGACTCGACTGCAAATGTCATGCGTACAATTATGTACAATCTCTTGATTTATCGAGACACGCTGAGCCGTCTGCAAGATGAGCTTCTAGAATGTGAGAGTCAAAATTGCCTTTCTCGGACGTGTCCCTCGTGGGAGAAAGTGAGGGAATTGCCATACCTCGATGCCTGCGTTCTAGAGGCTTTACGGCTGCATCCTCCATTTTGTCTTCCTTTTGAGCGAGTCGTTCCTGATGGTGGGGTGACTGTTTGCGAGACATATCTCCCAGCGGGGACGGTTGTCGGAATCAGCCCGTATATGGCCAACCGGGACAAACAAACCTTTGGCAATGATGCGGACGAATGGAGACCCGAGAGATGGCTAGGTCTGAGTCACGAAGACCGAAAGAGGCTGGAAAATAGTTTGTTAACCGTGAGTCTAAACTTCGTCTACGTCAGACATGCTCTTACTGATGTTGAGATGTAGTTTGGAGCGGGCCGTCGTACTTGTCTGGGGAAAAATATCGCCATCCTTGAGATCAAAAAACTATTTCCGGTGCTGCTTTTAAACTATGATGTGAGTACTTTGCTCAAATTGAGGCATGTGCTCTTCCTAATGTGTTCCATGCCAGATACAAATTGTCAACCCGGAGAACTACAAAACTGAGAATGCTTGGTTCTTCAAGCAGATGGGACTACAAGCAGTGATTCGCAGGCGGACGGAAATGGAGAGAGGTTCCAGTAGCAAGGACAACCCCACTCTCCCACCCGTCTTGAATATTCCCCCTTCGTCATCGACTGTCGATGTGCGAGTGATCGACCCGTAAGGCCCTACCTCGTCGTATCCATGGGAACTGATTAACCTAATAATTGCAGAGGAACACTCCTTGACCTACGACCTGATCTATTCTGGCAACCCGAACTGCCAGGCCTCAAAAAGGTGACAGCGCCAACTTACTGCTTCTTAATCTCGGCTGGCACTCGCCATGTTCTATTTGACTTAGGAGTCCGACAGGACTGGGAAAGCCTTCCGCCATCCGTTGTAGCCATGATCAAATCACAGACAACCATCCAAAACCCGCGCAACATCTCGGAAATTCTGGACTCTGACACATCGTCCCTGGGCGTCCGTAGCACAGACATCGAAGCCATCATCTGGTCGCATGCCCATTTCGACCATATCGGCGACCCGTCAACTTTCCCACTGTCTACCGAGCTCGTCGTGGGTCCTGGAATCCGGGACACCCACTGGCCTGGATTCCCAACTAACCCGGACGCGATTAATCTCAACTCGGACATCCAAGATCGCAAGGTGCGGGAAATCTCCTTCGAAAAGACAGAAAAGGGAGCCATCAAGATTGGCTCGTTCGACGCGCTGGACTATTTCGGCGATGGATCTTTCTATATTTTAAACGCCGCAGGCCATTCCATTGGTCATATAGGCGCCCTCGCGCGGGTTACCACCTCGCCGGATTCGTTCGTATTCATGGGTGGAGATTCCTGCCACC